AGCAGGAAGCAACCCAGAGAAAATGAACAGCTGAAAACCAGACCCAAACATCTAACCCACAGAACAAAACATTTGTAGCAGATAATATATTCTTGCACAGCCTGTTGAACGTTTTACATGAGATCACTGCTTTGCATAAACAGAACAAAACCACCCAAAAAAAATTCCCAAGGAATATACGGCTTAAGTAGACATTTTCTGGGTTCCTGTTTGTTTTTAGTGGCTGAAAGAAGATTTAGCAAAGCCCTGGCCATCAGTGAGTGCCCAAGAGGGTCCCAGGTGTGGGTATTTCCAAAGTCAGACCAGGAGCCCTGTAGGATCACGTCACCAGAGATGTTGTGTCCCAATAGCTGGCTCCAGACTGAAAGGTGACTGCATGTATCTCACCATCTCCATAGTTCTATAGCCCGTCTCAATATCTACACGATTCATCTGTCCAAGATCAGATAAAAACTGGAAGCCACACGATCAGAACAACACTGCCAGTGCTATACAGCTGGCTAAGATATTTTAAGGCTACCTAAAGGCTATAGGAATTAAATTTCCATAAAACAATGAAAGAAGGTGTTTTAAATATTATCAAGATTTCAAAATTATTTTTAAACCTCAACCCATCAGTGCCTTTGAACTAATAATTAACAAATGACTCTTCCATGAAAATAAACCCCTGAATATTGTACAGAATCACAAAATATTATCCACAATTCACCCCTGAAGTGAAGGCAAATATTAAAAAAATTATATTTCTTTTTTTTTTTTTTTTTTTAAGAAGAAGAACGTATATTAGAATCCAACTTACTCAGTTCACGGAGGAGAAGTCAAGAGAACCTGCTGGAAGCTTTCTCAGTCATGAATGGTTTTATATACCGTCCTAGACCACCAGGCTGATGCAAGAAAATAACGTCATATTTGTGCTTTAGGTCCCATTACTCCCCAAACAAAATTTGACGTATAATTACAGTAATTGTTTTGCTTACTGTTGGTGTTGATTACCCTATTCTCGCCAGCACGTGACTCGCACAGTCCCTTCCCCGGATTCTTTTCATTGCAGAATTTTAAACATCAGACCTTCTCCTGCAGCCTGGATGGTGGGGAAGCCCTGTCAGTGCTGGAGCTGGTCAGGAGCTCTGCAGGACTCATCCTCGCCGTTCCTTAGAGAACACAGGTTTGTTCTCCTTCTTTAACAGCATGAACTCCAAGAATGCACAAAAGCCTAACCTAGCATTAGTACTAAGTCTGCTTGTTAGGACGTGTTTACAGAAGCTGTAGTCACTGCGTGACTGTAGTGTCAGGATCACCTCAGAGAGACACTCCTAGCTGAGCAGAGCGTTGCTGATGGTGGCCTGGCTCCTCATTTGTTCTTCAAGACTCTTCCAAGGCAAGATTATGACAAGGGCATGATCTGGTGCAGTTTGACATGAGAGGTCTCCTCTGCAGGATGATTCCTGGCTAAGGCTACAAAGAAAGGCTAAGAGTACAGGGGGTGGTGTGATTTTTTAAACTAAAGATTTTGACCAGATTGGTGGAAGAAATTTTTGATGCTGAGGGTGATGAAACACCAGCCCCGGGTTGCCCAGATTGGTGGTTGATGTCCCATCCATGGAGATATTCAAGGTCAGGTTGGATGGGTCTCAATCTGCTCTAGTTGAAGAGGTCCCTGCTCACTTCAGGGAGGCTGGACTAGATGAGCTTTAAAGGTCCATTCCAACCCAAACCATTCTATGATTCCCTGAAGCACGGGTAGAGAAAGCTCAATTTGGTTAAAGTGGGATGGTGAGAGGGCTCTAGAAATTGCTCAGGTTGGTTTGGAATAAATCACTCCATCCCAGTCCCTTTCACAGTGGTTATGGTCACGGCTGCACCAGAAAAATGCTTATGAGTGGAGAAGAGTGTGGTAGGAAGTGCAGGTGAGCAACACCCTGGCAAAGCTGCTCATTGCCCACTTGACAGACGAGGTGGGACAGGGAAAAGAGGAGCAACTGGTTTATTTGAGATCACCCCAGAGGTCTCTGCTGATACAGAGGACTAAGAGTTATGCCACTGATTTGTGCCCGAGTTGACCTGCTGCGATGAAGCAGCAGCTCATGAAGCAGGGACCCAGCCCCCTCGGGTGATGTGTTGCTATTTAAATCAGCAAATAGTCCCTGATTTGGAAAGATGAATATTGGGCTGACTTGTTTTAAGTAGTATGATGAGGATAACAAATGCAGAGATGGCTTTTAATCAAAAAAACCCAAAGGGATCTGAATTCCCAAGGTGTTTATCATTGCCTAATGCAGAGAATCACATGGGTGGCCCTGACATATACTTTAAAGTGACGCTATGATTCAATACTGTGGAGTTTTAATCCTGGAAGCCTGTTATTAACATTATAACACCACAACACTTTGCATGTATAAAACATTAGTAGGTGTTTGCAAAACTATCTGAAAGCATTTCCTCAGAACATTTGCAATACGTCTTCTTGCCTAGAGGATCCTCCAATCCAAGAGATGATTGATGGCATAGAAGTTGCAAGAACAATAAGCAAAAATGTTGCATATGTATAGAACTGAGGGAGGGGAAACAAGCCCAGAAACTGTTCAGTGTGTGCATGGACACTTCCTTTGGGCAGGTCCCGAGGTGATGGTGGCAACCAGAACTGCTACCCAGCCAGAGCTGCACTCCTAATTTTTACTGAGATGAGACATGCTGTATCTGTCAGGTGCTGTTCTTAGAGGTGTAGCCCCAACACTCCAACCTCTGGCAGCTTTGGAGAAGTGCTGGGTGACTCAAATTCACCTACAGCTCCTTTCAGCAGCACCCACCCTGCCAGGCAGTTTTTGCCATGACTCCTTCAGCACTCTTGCTGACGCTCAGCTCACGTGGCACCATCCCCCTGTAGCTTTTGCCCCATATTTGGCTTTCTAGGAGTCATTTCCAGTCTCAGATGTCCCTCTTTTGCTGTTTGGGACTCAAAGGCATTTCCCACGAAGCCTGTGGCAGGAGCAGGGCTGCAGGAAGAGCTGTTTTCACCCTCCTGCCAGGAGCAGCTCCAAAGGGAGCTTCTGGTGAGCCAAACTTTCACATACATATATGCATTTATTCTCTTGCATATATTTATTTACATGTATAATATCAGTCATAAGGAAGAAATTGTACAATCACTGTTGGTAAAGGATTTCAGACTTCAAACCAGTGAAATAACAAATTGCAAACAGGTAAATTAAATGAATTAAATAAGCTAAATTAATTAAATGATTGCTTGAGAAGGGGGAAAGTCTTCAAAAACACTGCTGAGTGATTCCAAGGTCTTCAAAAAATACATTGGGGAAAAAAAAAAAAAAAACAAACAAACCCAAACAGAATTATAGGAAATCATTATGGAAAAGAAATGTTGAGGTTTTCTTGATCATTCCTGGGAAAGATTTGTCTGAGCTGTTCTTAAATGAGGCCCAGTAGAGGTTTTCCACTTGCAAATCTATCAGCACTTGGCTGCTTCTGGAACTGGAAACTGGGGTGGTTTTGTTTTCCTTAAAACTTATCTCAGTCTTCTTCATTGCAACGTAAGATGATTACTTCTTCTCCTGTTTTTCCACTGAATTAAAGGGATTTTAGGGCCTTTCTCCTCCACGTAATGTTTTCCAATATTATATTCCTTTTTATGAGTGTCTCTAAAATAAATCAAATGTGCTAGATAGACTCTGTGAAATAAGACCAAGAAAAGACAAATTCAAGTAACTGCAAAGGGTGGTGGTGGAGGAGATTTCTTTAATTAGGAAATGCTGTAATTAGAGAAGGAAGAACAAGCAAGAATTTAATTATAACCATAATTAACCATTGGAATAATTTGGCAGAGTGATTCCTTATTGACTTTAAATCAAAAGTGAGTGTTCAGTCAAAAGGTGTGTGATACTTTAAAGAGAAATTATGGAATAGA